CTATCTATCTATCTATCTATCTATCTATCTATCTATCTATCTATCTATCTATCTATCTATCATCTATCTATCTATCTATCTATCTGTAAAATCTATATCCCGTTTTAGAAGAGCCCTTATTTATGTCATGAAATGATTTCTATGTTTTTGCTGCAGAACCCCCCAAAATTCATCTGGACTTCATGGGGCAAACTCCGGACACTATTATTGTGGTAGCTGGAAATAAGCTGAGACTTGATGTACCCATCTCAGGGGACCCAGTCCCTGAAGTGATTTGGCAGAAAATGAACAAGGTAATACCAGTCTAAAAATGCCAGGGTTTCATAGTTGGTTCTTTAAATGAGGGGTCCCCAGCCCCCAGTCTGTGGACCAGCATGCCAGATACTGAGCCATGCAGACAAGCGAAGCCCCATCTGGGGGATGCAAGCAGCACGTGAAACCATGCTCTCTCTGAAACACTTCTCTCCTGGTGCCCAAAAGGTTGGGGGCCGCTGCTTTAAATCACAGTTGCCTATGTAGCTTATTACAAATTTCATATTTGATTTTAAAAAATTAAGGAATTCTTACCAATAAAGGAGAATATTTGTAGGTAAGGGTTGAAATGAGGGGACCTTGGTGCCCTCTTAGCTTCGTTGTTTTCTTGCAATGCACTGATGATGTTACCTAGTTTGGGTAGTGAAACATCTACAAGAAAACAACGAATCTCAGAGAGCACCAAGGGCCCCTCAAAGAAATTCTTAACTTGAAAATATAATTTTAATGTAAAATATTACAGAAATATTTTCTTTTTAGTTCTCCAAGCATATACATTATCTTAGCAATAAAAATACCCATTCAGTTTGGTTCTAAGTCTATTCATCCCCTCTCTTTCTAATACTCTATCGGTAGATGTCTATACAGCTAAAATGGTACCATTCTTGTACTTCATCATCAAGATATTTGTTGTGGGTTCAGGGAGAGAAATGTGGAGGAGAATTTGAATACTGGCTGAGTATAAAGAAAAGTCCAATTAAAAATTGGGGGGATAGATAATACAACAGAACTTGAATAGCATGAATTCTTCCTGCAGCAATTTATTGTTGTTCCTGCTCATATAAGTTTAAGCAACCATTGGATTTTCTGGCCCTCACCTTTTAGTCCTGGATAAATCCTCATGTACTTCAAATGCACTTGACTTGACAATCTGAACATGTACAAAGGCTATTGTTGATTGTTGTCTGATAATTTACTCTCACTCACTGTTTCTTGTACTCTGAAACAATTGAGCATCATGCTAGAAGGTTTAATCCTACCATCCATTTTGAATCACTTCTATGAAATCATGTTATTGTTCAAAGAGCTGCTATAAGAATTGAGGAGTTTTGGTCTGCCCGTGCCATTCTAACTGATCACAAAACCACAATCCATGTCCTGTTTTATTAATATCCCTTCATCAGGGAAAAAGCATCAAGCAGTTCAGAGTATAAATCCTTCCTGTGCATAGGTATGACTTGTTTAGATTACAGAATGACTTCTCAGATGTTTGAATGAAATTAGCCAGCCTAGAAAGGCACTTTCTATCTTAATTGTGTAAAAATCAAAGGGTTGCCTTCTTTTGTGAGAAGGTAGAACAACCCTTTCATGTGTCCTCTGGGTATTCAATTCCTGTTAGCCACAGCCATTGGAGACAGTGGGAAAGAACCAGAGAGCTGCACTTTGAATATCAAGAGAAACCAAGTTACCTATCTTTGTTTTAAGCCCTGATTTAGGGAACTGGTAATTCAGAAGCTAAAAGGTTGATGGTCAGCTTTCAAAGTTTGTACCTGTATTGTGTTTGAGAACACCTTTGCAAAAGACTGGGGCAAGACTGGCATTCATAACAGGCAGTAGTGTCCAAAGAATGTGGTTAGAAAAAAATCAAGATGACAGCTGCAACATATTGCTCCCACTCCCAACAATCTTCCATGACACAGTGTAGGCAAGGGGTCACCAAATCCCAGTATAGGGACTAGCACCAGTCCACAGCATACCAACAACCATGCCGTGCAAACAAAAACCTTTCTCCACTGAACTGGTCCCTAGTGCCCAAAAGGTTGGAGACCGTTGGTATAGGCTACATAGCAATAGTCAGTATAGGCTATTACAGCAATAGTGTTTTTTATATAGTTACTATTACCTGATGAAGATGCTTATTTAAAGCAGACAGATATTTTTTTTACTTACTTTCTCTCATTGGTTCACCAGTTTGTGAAGATAGTTAGAAAGTGTGTACTTTAAGCATATCTATTGGATGGTCTGAAATAAATGAGACTTAGAGGAGTGTTACATACATACATACATGTTACATAAATAGATTGCACATAAGAAATTATAAACATTCCATATATATTTGTGTATAAGCCAATCTGCCAATAACACAACCATTATTTTTTTAAATACCATGAAAAAGGCACCATCTACAGATGAGCAAAGCTTCAATATTTTTTTGTTTTCATTTTGACAATTGGTTTATCTGGAGGTGGCTCATTGTGTATTGGTTCATTGTGTTTTGGTTAAAAATTGGAATGTCTGTTTAGCCACATATGGGCTTATCCATGGCCATTTATAGACCATATATTTGAGTATTTTTAAAGAGCTAAGGGAAAAACCTGTGATATATGTTTGCAGATAAACTCATTCATGGATAAGATGAACCCAATTTGGGAGCTATATTTTGGCATCTAAAATTCTTGGCTTTTCTAAAAATACATAAAGAGCATAATTACTTCTAATTCTTGGTAATCTACAAGCGGCTCCAAAATTCTCGATGGTTGCATGAAACAACATACTGTAGTTTTCAGTTATTACAAGAAGTGTCATAAGTTCAAGAAAATGTACTGGATTATAAATAATAAAAAAGTATGTGTTATTAACTCTTAAATTACTTTTAAGATGTTTTGCTTATCTTTTATGTTTGGAAAGAACAAGGCTGACCTCTTCTGGTTTGTATTTTTAATACTAATTCACTTTCTCTCTTCATATTCTTCCTGAGAATTTATGCTTTGAAACTTTCCTTTAAAATTTATCGTTTCCTGTGTTTAGCATTTTATCTTTCCTGCAACCTTCATTTCACAAGGACATGTTTACTTAAATACAGTAAAGGAACAAGTTAGGATAGTTCTTTTCCACAGCACTGTTCCTCATGGTAAAGCTAACCATCGGCATTTGAGGTAGCAAAAAATTATAGTAGCATAAAATTGGCTAAATATCCGTACCCTGCCACATTCCAAATCCCATGATGGGAGAGAACAGTTCTGTCTTTATCAGGTGCAGGTATGTTAAAGGCAAGGATTGATACCCTTTCCCCCCACCACCACCACTTTATTTTTGTGACTCTAATCATGTCCCATCACCCAATCATCAGTTAATGAAAAGACATCTATCAATCACTCTCCTTAATGTCCTTAATGAGTTGGGGATTGTGATGGAGGTGAAGCACATTTTAATAATCTGTCCCCTACCTGAATTCATGTTGGTTTTGCACAAATGTCTATGGAGATTCTCAGTCATCCAGGTCATGGTTGCCGAAAGGTGCTTTTTCAAGAGGCAACTGGACTTTCTGTTTTTTCTTTGAAGATGTTTCACTTCTCATCCAAGAAGCTTCTTGGATGAGAAGCAAAACATCTTCAAACAAAAAGCACCTTTGAGGTTTATTTATTGCACATGTATATTCAGAAGTCCAATTATTAAATTTTATTTGCTCATTATTAGGCTTCCTTGGGACACAGGTATAGCACTATTACAGAAGCACACTTACCTCTGTTTAAAAACTCAAATAATAGCTGCAGATATTTTATCTTACAGCTCTGTTTCTTCCGCAGCTAGAGAAATCTCTAAGCCAACTCTCTAAACCCAGGACCTTCTCAAAGACTTCATGACTAAACAGAGAGAATCCACTCTGAGAAAAATAGACTCTCCCACTATCCATAGGGATCTGAAGGACACTGCTCTAGGACCAGAATGAAAGGTCCATGTCTATACCAAAGCTGGCCAATAGATGCCAGACTGATCCTACCAGAATTGCTAATAAAGCATCTCATACTGTATCTATAGCAAAACCAAAGTGGGGAAACTTCTCTGATGCTGATAGAGCTAAGGATGACTGCTTCAGATATAGGGTGGCAACTGCATGAGGACACATCAGAAGAGATTACAGGACTGTCCTTGTGCTGCAATTCAATGCAAGTGAGAAAAGTTTCTTACTAAGGATCTCATATCTTTCATGATCAGTGGAGCATAGAATTTGAACCTGTTTTATTTTTCTGCATAACTATAGTACACACAATTTTATTTAAGCCACTTGGTGGCACAGTGGTTAAAATGCAGTATTGCAGACTAACTCTACCCACAGCCTGGAGTTAGATCCTGACTAGCTCAAGGTTGGCTCAGCCTTCCATCCTTCCAAAGTCAGTAAAATGAGGAGCCAGATTGTTGAGAGCAATATGCTGACTCTGTAAATCTCCCAGAGAGTGATGTAAAGCACTGTGGGCGATATATAAGTTTAAGTGCTATTACTATTGCTATTAAGGCCTGGTCCAAGTATTTGGAATGCCAAGAAGAACTGCCGCTGGCTGCATCAGTCTTAATAATTCACAATTAGGATTCAGCTTTTTCAAACAAAATCACTTTAAGCAGAATTAGACCACCTTTTGTGGGCTTTCGCCCTTCCTCCCAGCCTCCTGAGTTTTTATTTCCTAATTCTAAATCCAGTTTTTAAAAAAATCACTGAGAATGGCTCTAAGCACAACATGATCTAATATTTGCATAGAATGTGTCAACAGCATTTACTCAATGTTATTTCAAAATGGTGAATAACGAAATCTCTTACCTTACCTTGCCTTCCTACAAATCTGTACCCAAACATCCTTCTCCCAACTTCTTTTTAAAAAAAGGTACAAAATAAAAGGTAGTATTTCCCATCTCTTATACTTCCTGCCCTTCTATGCATATATTGTTTTGCCAAAAACACTGAAGTGAGTCTGAGAGGATGTCGGGTGAGGCAAGGGTGTTTCAATAATGGCTACAAATATACATAAAACCCTGAAAAACTTCCCATTCGTTTTGGCAGCCAATCTCCATTACTTCTCAATTCCATGTAAGCCAGCAATGCTAGTGGGTCAACAATTCATATTTGGGCCTATTTTCTGAACCATGTCAGCAGTTTGCTATGACATTAGCCTAGGAGTTGAAAGACCAGGTGAGACAATGGGAAAACAACCTTTCAAGGGTGAACTTTACACATTTTGATCTTGAAATGGTCTGTCCATTGGTGTTGCATTTGCTTGACTATGAAACAGTGTGATTGTCAGGCCTGCAATTATATTCCTTTTAGAATTTTGGCCTGCCACACTTTCTCTTATTTCATTATGCTGTTTCATTAGTATAGTCGATGGGAGGGGGGAATAGAAGGAGTAGGATTGTGGAATGTATTGTTTTCATTCTTTACTAGAAGCCAAGGTCATCCTTTGTCTCCGTACTTTGACACCTGACCGGAAGCAGCTGGGCATGGATGCCAGCAGGGAAGAAGAAGATTGGACCATGTGATGGATTGTGGGTGTGGGGACAAGATCATGAACTTTTAACTGGGTGGAATTCTGATGTCATTTCCAGTTTTGGGATTCCATAGCATGATGCCAACATGTCTGTCTTATTAAATTGGAACTTTAAGGATAGCTCTGCCTTAGACTCTGATTTAATTCTGCATGATATTTGGAATGCTGACATTGATAACTAAAAGAGGTGTTTTTTTCTTTTACTATTGAGATTATTTATGCCTTCATTTTAAGATTAGGGAATGAAGAACATCTATGTGGTCACAGGGAGTTGAAAGCAACTTGATTGCACATAATTAGTCTTAAACTGTCTGCTGATATATTCTTCATCTTATCTGAGGTTTGTCCTCTAAAGCAATAGGTAAAATCATTTAATAACAAATCTGGCTAATTTCTTTGATTTTAAACATGAAGACTATTTTTTTTCTTCTGCTTCATTTCTCTTTCAGAATAATGAACTGGAACTAATAGGTGGTGGCTCAAACTCTGTGGACCTTAAGGGCACATGTGGTGATTTGACTAACAATGAGAAGGCAAGTCTTTCATTTTTCAAACTGTCAGGCAGATAGATCTCCCTTTTGACAAATGTTTGCAACCCAGTGATCCCTGCAGTAATTCAGAGGTTCAGAATAGTTATGTAAATTGTTAACTTGCCATAATAATAGCTTTAGAGCTTTTAATTTGAATTGTCTCTCTGGACTCCGTTGTGCTTAGAGTACTATTTCTCAAACTGTTGAATCTTTAGCACTTTTTTTAGCTCCCAATGATGAAGTACCATCCATCTAAAATGGCAGTCTTGTGCAAATACGCATGTACTTCTGTGCAAGCATATGTTGTCTGGCAATAATCCCACATCGGCTTTGGAATGACTTTGCTGATCCTTTGTTAGCCATGCAGAAAGATAAATGAGGAAAAAAGAAAATAAGCCCTTCTAGACTTTCTCATATTCAAATGATGGAGTAGAAAGAACGCAATTATTTTCTTAGGATCAATCTGGATCAGTTCCAAAGAGTATTCAGTGTATCCCAGATTTTAGCTATTTAGGGAGAAAAATAGGACCTATCACAGAATCCAATTCTTTTATTCCTTGCTACTCTCAGCTCCTTACTGTAGGACTGACTCCAGAATATTAAGTGATGTAAGATAAACTAAATGAAATTCTCATCAGCATGCATAGTTCAAACGAGTCTGCTCAGTTAAAATCGAACTGAATTATTTCCTTGATTTCATTTTAATTATAAATAGAATGACACAATTTTTTGCATGAACACTTAAAGTGAAAAAAAGCTCTTAGCATATTTAAATTTTGTAGAAACGAGAATGCAATTTAGCACATATTTGTACTGCACCATTAAGCTGCTGCTATCCATGCTGAGGTCAGAGAGATTGAAAGCTGGTTTAAGAAAATTCTGCCAGATTGGGATGCACGGTTGATGACTTGCCAGATGTTCAGTACAATTCTTCTAGTACTGTTCTAAGTACTAATTTTCTCAGAAAAGAAAGCAGTTACCAATCACTTTCCTTCATATGGACCGTGTATATAAATATAGTGAGCATATAGAATTTTTGTGTGCATACATACAGTATGTATACAGTGTTATAGAGCCGAGATGGCGCAGTGGTTAAATGCAGCACTGCAGGCTACTTCAGCTGACTGCAGTTCTGCAGTTCGGCTGTTCAAATCTCACCGGCTCAAGGTTGACTCAGCCTTCCATCCTTCCAAGGTGGGTAAAATGAGGACCCGGATTGTTGGGGGCAATATGCTGACTCTGTAAACCGCTTAGAGAGGGCTGAAAGCCCTATGAAGCGGTATATAAGTCTAACTGCTATTGCTATTGTTATATTTATATATAGATAGTGGTTGCACTAAAATGTTCATATATTCAAGAAGATAAGCCCTCTTTAAAATAAAAAGCTTCTTTCTTGCATTTTTCTCAGTTTGGCTCAGTAATGTTATTGCAACTATTGTTACAGAATTCTTTCAGTAGAAGTGGGTTATAATGTTAACGTGGCATGCAGAATGTCACTAATTTGAAACCCCATTGAAATGTGGGTTTTTTAATTACTATTTTTCTTACCTTGAACAACCCACATTACTGCATTATTCAATAGGTTCTCCTGGAATTTTCCAATCAGTTGAAGTAAAACACAAAGGATTTTGTTGTACTTATTCATGTGGATTATTTGGGAGCTGATTTAAAAGGAAAGGAAAAACAAGCTCTGGTGTTTCAATTGTGCAGTGCTGGAACTTAAGAAGGAAAATGCCCAGCAAAAAAAGTAGGAAGCCTAGGAGAAAAATAGTAATAAAAGACCCTTGCCTGCTGTATTTTGAACCGATAACTTCTTATATATCAAGCAAATGCTATAACCACTCTGCCATGGAACATTTGTAATAGTTGAAGCAGGTATTAGTAAGCTGCAGGGCTTCAACCACTAAACTAAGTTGTTCCTTGGGTAGGGGTGTTTCTGTCACTACATAACGTAATCTGTTAAGTTTGCTAAAAGAAAATATCTAGCAGCAGCAGCTAGACAGCAGTCCTTGTACTGACACTAACTGGAAAACACAGCTTTTAACACAGAGCAGAAAAATGCAGATTGCGTGTGTTTGTGTGTGTGTGTGTGTGCGCGCGCACGTATATCTGTGTGTCACATTTGCAATAGGCATGGTTTACTTAGAGCAGTGATTCCCAACCTTTTTTTGGCCATGCCCCAGCTAAGCATCTCTAAAATCCTGACGCCCTCCCTCTGTAACATATAATTCTTACTTTACTCAAAAAGTTTACTTTACCCATACGGAGGAAGCCTATAAGGCTATTAACGTGGTTTAAACAAGGTTCAAATTGCCCCCTGTGGGATGCGGGCCCCACATTGGGAACCACTGACATAGAAGATGACATCCAATCCTACCCTCCCGAAATGATGCGTGGATCATTCTTGCAACAGGACAATCTGGCCATGTGAATATGCCTTTGGAAGCCCCCACTCCATGGATTCCTGATAGCTTTTCTCAGCTGTTTCTTCTCCAGACCATCTGTTAAAATAAATATTTTTGCTTGCCTACCTATTTATTTTTCTCTTTTACACATTCAGATTATGATGGTGCAAATATAAACTCAGTAATGTGTACCAAACTATTTAAATGCTAATTAAAAACTTGGTCCGATTCCATACACCCACTGAAACTAACTTACTTTTTTCTGAACTTGTTCACAGCCATTTTCTGATTCGGAAGGTCGAGTCCATGTGGAAACATATGAAGACCACTGTGTGTTTACTATTGAAGGAGCTGAGAAGGAAGATGAGGGAATCTACAGAGTTGCAGTGAAAAATCCAGCTGGAGAAGACACAGCTGATATCACTGTAAAAGTTATTGGTAAGCAAGACCGTGATCGGATTAGTACATAAAGTAAGCCTTTGACAGTTCATCTCATGTTTTTATATCTTCCAATGGAGAAGAGACTCAGCAGCTGGGATCACCCAATTCAACTCTCCCTTTCCTGTAAGTCAGTGTTTCTCAACTTTGGGCACTTTAAGAGGTCTGGACTTCAGTTCCCAGAATTCCCCAGCCAGCTATGCTGGGAGTTGAAGTCCAGACTTCTTAAAATGCCCAAAGTTGAGAAATGCTGCTGTTAAGTAAAACTCCAACTAGAGAAACTACATTGCTGAGTCACTGCTTTCAGTGAGTGGTTTTCATGGAATAACAACAATCTCTGTGCAATTGTTGCCTAAATTAGCTCTTTTTTGTCATCTGGAGTGAGCTGAGAATAATCTCAGAAATACTCACAATCCAAGAGCATAGTAAATACACCTTTCAAATATTTTTATTGGCCACTTGGCTTGGCAAGTAATTGTTCTCCGCTATCATTATTTCTGGGTTGAATAAAATCATATTTTCTATCTCATGTCATTTAAAAATATAGCATGTGGGTGAAGTCTCAACAGATTGGCTTTCTTTTCATTTTTAAGCATTAATCTGATCATACCATTTGTTTTACAGATGGAGAAATGTTGTGACTAATATAGTAGTTATAACAGGAACATCCCCCTTCCTTCAAAATGTTACAGAAACTTTTTTTTAATTTTTAAGAAGGAATTTCCTGATATAAATACCAATACAATAATGAAAGTTCAATAAAACAAGAACGCAGCTAAACCTTGCAAGATTGCTTAGGCCCAAAGCTCATTCATAAGCTTAACTCAAAGTTAAATTTTCAGTGACACTGTAATAACTTAAGTCAATGTTTTTCAATCTTGATAACTTTAAGATGAGTTGCTGGCTGGGGAATTCTGGGAATTGAAGTCCACCCGTCTTAAAGCCACCAAGATTGACAAACACTGGCTTAAGTCATTACAGTGTCATTGAAAGATTTTTGGATTATCTCCACTGAGATTCAGATTCAGAGAGAGAGGGAGGGGGAGGGAGAGGGATGAATTGAATTCCTTCTACAACTGTCTATTTTTTCCAAATATTTGGTTTCCAGATGGGCAAACCAATATTCATGGGAACAGTAACATTTCCCCTTCTGAAACTAGAGATAATATGGAGAAATCATATTCTTGAGCACCTCCTACTCTTGCATTTCTCTAAGAGTCCTTTAAAATATTTCAAATAGGCAGATGTCATCACTATACTGTGTAAAAACAAGTTTTTTAACTAAAAAGAAGAAATACTTATAAGCACTAGTAAAAGAAAATACTTCAGTCTCATCTTTCCCTCCTTCTCCAGATATACCTGATCCACCAGAAGCTCCTAAAATCACTGATGTCGGTGAAGACAACTGCATAGTACAGTGGCAGCCACCTAAGTATGATGGAGGACAGGCAATACTGGGTAAGAATCCACAATAATCTTAACAGAAGAGTTTTTAATTGGAGCAGACGTTTCTTGTCAATTACTTATAGGAAAAAATTGCAGCACTGTGCCTTGGATTCGTTTCAAAAACATGCTCTGGAATGTGCGGAGATATAAAATAGCATCTGCCTGCAACTGTTTAAAGTAGACCATTTTTCTGCAAATTGCAGCTTGAGGATCCTAGAAAAAACACATGGCTACTATGTGCATTATAGAGAAGTGCAACATACATGCCTCATATGCTCCAAAGCACCTGTTTGAAAGAGAATCAGATAGTGCTTTGATTTCCCTTACTTGTTGTTTCAAGGACAACATACTCACAACATGCTACTTAAGGCATACAAAAGGAAACAGGAGCACCTTCCTTCTCTGTATAAAGTGTCTCGAATCTTAAGCTCATAATAAAATATCCAACTTCCATCAACCAGTGGTTTCAATCAATTTCAGGTATTATATGGAAAGCATAAATAGAAATCACCCATATTTCTTTTGCAGTCGATGTAGTGTGCAAAGCATTTTTCAGCGCAGAGGTCACTTTTCAAAGAGACTGGTAAGTGTCAAGAGAGGAAGGAACTGTCATCAGAACAGATAGAGTTTAAGCTAGCAGTCTTATAATACTGGCACGGTTAAACACATTATGATCAGACTGTCTATCTCTTGATGAGACCGTAGACAAAAATAACATAGGCATTATGCAGCTCAAATGGTTTTAATAAGGCATATGGGACTAAGTCTCCTGTTAATACGTTACGTGTATTGGCTGCAATGGAGCCATGTTCCTGTCCCTGATTCTGCTAGCTCCACCCACTGATCTGTTGAATGGAAGCAGAGAGCTGAACAGGAATATTGATTAACGAGTTCCAATTTTGGGGTTCTGCATAGACACGACACTTGGAATTCTCAATGAAGGGCAGACATTGTATTTCACATTCACATGTTTAATTTGAAAAACAATGGACTTAATAGTATTTCTTTCATACAGTATACCTATGCGTGTAATCAAGCGACGCATTTCAGTGTAAAAACAATTCTTGCTATCACTCACAGAGAAAACACTTCAGTGCTGAAGATGACTAGAAGAGCTTAAGCTCTATTGAACAATATCAGATCTCCTCCAGAGCAATAGTGCATCAAATTGCCTTGCATAAAGTTCACTCCTATATGTAGACCTTGTGAAGTCTTATCACATTCACAACTGCAAGTTCGGCATCTTCTTGCTGTAACTGGATGTTAAAAATAGAAACAGAAACCTGGGGTGGGGGGTTCAATCCACATGGATAGTTTACCCTACTTTTAAAGTTTAGATTAGAGGAATAATCAGTTGGGCTGTTGGCTTGGCATGTTTTATTTCAATTGGTGTGCAAGCGAGTGAGCTTTTAATACTTTGTGTATTGTTATTGGGCTGAATAAATTAGGTCACAACTTATTAAATTACACATAATGTGTCAATTGCCTATTTTTTGTGTAAGCAGATTGACTTCTCAGAGATCCAGCTTTTGGTTAGGTCATTATAACCAAGTGGGATGCCTTATAACTCTTCCACATCAGCCATTATAATGATAAATATAAAAACTGAGCTAATATAGGATTTGCTACTGGGGTCCATATCCCCTTAAGAAATAAATGTCATCTGTCTCTCTGTCAGCAGTGACAGATGTTTCCTTCAGGCTTTTACATTTCTCAGAAATGAGAGCAGAGGTGTTAATTTCAATTTGGTCATGGTGCGTGGGTCTTCTACACAGAATGCTATAATGACACATTAGGCAGGAGAACACAGTAATAATAAATAAACCCCAACATGACTTGTAAATGGACTACAGAAACACAAGGGATTAAAATTCCATCCATGGAAGAGAATCAACTTCAAGTCGGTTTAGCCGCAATCGTGTGGATCACATGATCTCAGGATGCTGGAACCATCAGAAATATGACTCAGTTGCCAAGCATTGGAATTTTGATCATGTGACTCCAGGGATGCTGCAAAGGTTGTTAGGAAAAAGAGAGAGTGACTTCACTGTAATAATGTGATATTTGACTGGATAGTAGTAAATGAAATAAACATGTAATTGGCTGATGATTTAGAGCAATTTTTAAAACATGCAGCTGTAAGACAGACACTGTTTATTAAAATAAAGTTGAATTAAGGTATATAGTAAGAAAGACAAAACTTATTTTTCTGGGAACTAAGAGGCAATAAACAATAAAATGTAACTATTTTATAAATGTTTAATAATAAAATGTAACTATTTCTAACAATTAATCTTTCTGATTAATGCATAAGATTGTTCTTAATTCAATATCTCAAAAAGGCATTATGTTGTGATCTAACAATAGTTCCAAAAAAATCTAATTATGTGGTATTGTGAATCCCATCCTTTTAATATACAATACAATTAGCCTTGATCTTACGAAATACTTATGAACTACAAGGCATTGTAATAGCAAATTGTAATTGAATAATATTCAGGGTCAAGGTTTGAGAATCCAGATATTATTTAATGTTGTCTTCCCTAATCTAGCTACATGAAGACTAAATGACAAATGTGCATGAAATATGGATGCAGTAAAAAAAATCTGATTTGAAAGTTTCTGCACATCAAAAGCAAAGTGGTTATGCTGTTGTTACCTGACTGCTATATGGCCCAAGGCAGTTTTTCTATACCCTTATAATTGCTTTTTGATTTCCAGGATACATCTTAGAGAGGAAGAAAAAGAAGAGCTACAGGTGGATGAGGTTGAACTTTGACCTTTTGAAGGATCTGACTTATGAAGCAAAGAGAATGATTGAAGGAGTTGTTTATGAGATGAGAATTTATGCTGTGAACTCAGTTGGCATGTCTCGGCCTAGTCCTGCCTCACAGCCTTTCATGCCAATTGGTGAGTGTCAACAACATGCATGTTGCATTATTTGTAATCCCTCCTTGAGAACGCAAGAAAGAAATGAACAATATTGAAGGGAGAACATAGATGTGTAACTATTTAAAGTTTATTTTTTTCCCTTTTACCTGTCCTTGAAAATGAGAGCGTGGAGGTTCCAGTTTCATAAAATTGCTGATGAATTTCTAACTGTTAAAATTAGAAGTGTGAGAGGCAAGCTAGGCTGAACAAGAGAGGGAAGCTAATTGGCAGTGACCTCCCATTGCCTCTCAGCTTCCCCCATTCCATTATGGATGCAAATGCTGTAGTAAACTACCAATGCCACCCAGTCCGCCTTCCTGTGGAGCTGTAAGGCTATCTGATTAAGAAAATATCCATGGATTTTCTATAAATAATCATTATGACCCACACCATTTTGAAGCAGTCCTTGAGTTAAGGGCACACTGTGTGAGTCATTGCGAGAAAGAAGCATTCGAGAAATTAAGGTACAGCAGTCATTGCAATGACCAACGAGATGGCTAAACTCATAGAAGTCCATAAAGAAGAAGAAGAGTTTTCTGAAAGTAATGGTGTGGAAATCCAAGACCCCAAGAATGGACAAGCAGAGAAAAATATAGTTGAAGAGAACGCGATTAGCTCTGATCTTCAGTCGCCATTCAACAACTGTACTGGTGAAGGAGAAGGAGAAGGAGAAAGAGAAGAAGAAGACGATTCAGTCCGGGAAACAATTGAAGAGTTCCCACAGGAAACAGATGAGCTAAAAGGTCCAGGATTTTGATGGAATAAGAACATGTTTACCAGATTAGAAATAAGGGGCAACCTGCAACTCTGGAGATGAGGCATTGGGTTTGTAATGTGCATTTTATGGTAACATGCTCACATCCATGTGTGAGTGATGCACATACTTTTTTTAAAATTACTTTCAAAGACTGGCTTTAATTGAATGTCATTCCAGAAAGGCAAGTGAGAAAATGTGTTTATTGCAACAATGATAGGCTGGGTGCTAACATTAGGTGTTCCATCTGTTGTATCATTTTTAACCTTTTTGAAAAGAGAAGAGGCTTGTTATCTGTTTTGTGGAACATTCTGCATAGTTGAAATATTTTAAGTAGTGTTCACAATGTGTTTAAATACCACAACATTTAAGCTGCCTAATTTATGATAAGCACACATATGGCACAAAAAGAAAAACCCCACCTACCTTCTTTTAAAAGTGTTGTTCCCTTACTGCATGTAGGGTAAACAAAATGAGGATGAATCAGCTATTGAATGAGTATTGAGTATTATGTCACACGGTGAAATGTGAAGCCTTTGTAGACTGACATGGAGAAATATTTGGTAAAGAGGAATCTCAAAGACTGAAATGCAGGTCATCTGTGCAAAATATATTTCAAATTATAAGCTGCTCCAAGACTTTGAGAATGAGCATGGTATAAATAAATATTTTAGGTACAATAACGATAATGATGATGATGATGACAATGTTGAGAATAGAATAATAGCACTGGGAAAAACTCTGCTTCAAAATATTTCTGTTTGATAACTATTGAACCAGAAAATTGTTCGTCTCTAAACCTGTCTCTCCAATACTGACTGCCAATTAGAAAGTAATATGGTATCCCTTCTTTTCTTGCCTATAGCTGTTAATTTTGGGGTTAAGAACATTCATTATATATATTTTATTGACATGCAAGCTAATAATTTCTGCCTTCTCCTTGAGTCAAATTAGCAAATGTCACACCATCTACTTAGTCATAACCAAACATAGGATTGTGAGCTCCAAAAAGTATAAGCTATGTTCCACAGGAGTGTTTAAATGCTGCCAGTGCTATAGCATTCAGCAGCCTCCATCTTTACCTATTTTCACCTTAGGAAATCCTATTCTAAAGGTACAATAATGGCTGTCATCTTCCAGACCTAAGTATGAAATTTTTGTTAACCCACCAAGCTCCATGTGATGTTCATATTACTATTTCTACCACAGTTAAATTCTTCTAATCTTCATAAACTTCAATAAAAGTGTTGTTTTTCTAAAAGCATGAAGTCTTCACTGTCAAAAAAAGTCCATTTTTATGGAAGCTCTTTCAAAGTCTAAGATTCTTCAATGGGATTGCTTTAATGGGTTACTTCATTTTTAACAAATAGAGGAAACAGGGGTTTTGTTAAAAATATTGTACTTCTGCTTTTATAGTTTTAAATTACATTTTGCAAAAATTTTAAATATTATAAGCTGACATTTTTAATTAGGAAAATGAAAATACTATTGTTGTTTAACATATCATGCAAAGTCTTTGGCTTGTGCATTTTGTTTAGCTCCTCCAAGTGAGCCAACACACTTTACTGTAGAAGACATTTCTGACACTTCTGTTGCCCTGAAGTGGAGACCCCCTGAAAGGATTGGAGCAGGAGGATTGGATGGCTACAATATTGAATACTGTAGAGAAGGATGTGAGTAAGCCCTGGTGTATTCTGAAAGGAACAAATAATGCCCGTTTTGCTGGGTTTACTAAAGTAGACATTGATTGATAAAGCAGACACAGTAACATGAAAGAATAATTAGGGAGATTATGGTTTAAAACTGGCTAATATCACATAGATTCTCTTATGAGGGGGTGCCTATTTCCTAAAAAGTTGATGAAACAGAGATGATAACAGCATCAACTCACAAAGCATCTCTGACCTGATCTCAAGTTGCCATAGGCAGACAAACAGAATATGAACTAATTTACAAGAGTGGGTATAAATATATAGGTTGAATTTTGGCAGTTATGTATTTTGTTTGTCTCTCTACCTCCAGGGAAATGACTGGAACTAATATACTTGGTGATAGTGATTGTTACACATTTTTAGCTTGTTAGTCATTATTCTTAATTTATTACAGCAAATGTTAAAGCAATCTGTGATCTCTGCAATTTTCAGTAGATCCAGTTTCAAAATACAGTCTCTCCCTTCTCTAATTGTTCCTTAGATTTATGTTAAGTTTAGTTAGCAGTTTGAAGTTCACTAATAAAATAATGTCCTACTGAATTTGCTTTTGAATAAGTTGAACTTTGAATAAATAGAATTTTTATGCCGTCAGACAAAATCTTATAAAAATGTGCTTTAAAAATGTCTAGCAGTTTGTTTTTTTAATATCTGCAGCCACTGAATGGATTCCAGCTCTTCCTAGCCCCACTGAACGCACATCTGTCTTACTTAAAGATTTGGTTACAGGAGACAAATTGTATTTTCGCATCACTGCTATAAATTTAGCAGGGACAAGTCAACCAGCAATGATTAAGGAACCAGTTACTGTTCAAGAGATCTTGCGTAAGTGTCTCGAGAGTATTCCTTAAGCCATTTATAATTATTTCTTTAATGAAAAGCTCCTTGGAGTACAAGGGAGTATAAATTTGTTTATTGCAGTTCATTCTTCCTAATACTTTAAATTCACCAGTCTTCTAAACTTCTGGGGCCAGAGGGAATATTTTGAATTTTGAAAGCATATTGTGGAAGCTCCAAAAAATAATTGTCACGGAGGCACTCATCCATTTACGAACAAATGTCAAAATGACACTACCAGTCACAATATATTTCTTTCAGTGAAGAAATTAAAATAAAATTCTCCAAGAATTGCAGTATATGTAGACTCATTAAAAGTATCTGGCAAACTTTCAGATACTCCAAGCTGCTTAGCTGGTATCAAATAAAGTTTTATAGATATATTATTGTAGTTGGGTTCCATATTGGAATCTCAGTTTTAACCATATGAATCTGGCTTTCTAATGTGAGTCCAGAATCTCCTAAAACTGGATTGAACACCTGATTTACACTAGAACATGGATGAGCAATCTATAGCGCTTGAGATGTTCTTAGATTCCTACTTCTCTCATAATTGTCTATGTTCATGGATAATTAATTGAACAATTAGAACCCCAGTGTGATTTCTTCTTTCCATGTATCCTTGCAGGATTTGCCATGGCACAATTTTTTTTAAAAAAAACTCCAAATAATCACCATTAAATATGCTTAAAATTATGGCTTTTTCATTCTATTAAATATTTAATACATATTGTCAAAATCATTTTTTATTTTTCTGCACAAATACAATGTATATGTACAATAATCTGAAATAGAGTAATTATCCTCTAACTTGATTTTTGAACTACAGAGCGCCCTAAAATTAGGCTGCCACGCAATCTCAGACAAACTTTAATGAAGAAAGTTGGTGACACAATCAACATTGTAATTCCTTTCCAGGTATGTGATGGGGTCTTTATTGATCATAGAGTAAAGTCTTACCCTTGTTGAAGAAACTGACAATGGGAACAAGTATTCCTATGTATCTCTGGAGTAATACTTATCCAGAAGTCAAGATATTTCCTCATCATTGGGTGAAAGCTCATCTGGTCTGGATTTTCATCCTTCCATAAAGTTATATAAGCACTGCCCATCTCTGATTTAGCTGAAGACAATGTTTGTGGTCATATCTCTTCAACTGAGTAGAATTGTAGTATCTCTATCTTTGCCATGTTACTAGAGGAATGTTTGTAAGGAGGTACACTGCCAGAAAGAACTTTGAGAAACAGCTGGTGAAAAGAAACTGAATCTATTCATCACCAAATAAGTTATTTCTGCCTTCTATCTCTAATGTGAAAAGCTGTACAAAAGAGATACTTCTAAATCTCATAATTGTCAAGATATAAAAAAGTTCCATTTAAAATCTGAGGGCAATTTTTCTCAACCCTGACAACTTTAAGATTTGTGGACTTCCAGTCCCAGAATTCCTCAGCCACTATGTGTAAACTTAAAAGTTGTCAAGGTTGAGCAACGCTGGCTTAGATCAAAAGATAAGCAATAAATAGAAAGATAAATAGAAATTAGACAATAATTTATTCATATGTTATGAAAAACTTCAACTCAACTTAGGAGGCAAACAAACTCTACTCTATAATCCAAGTTGTACAATTTCCCCTCTATTGTTCCAATGCAATTGCAAAGAATGATTGGAATCCTTTATCCCCATTTTAAATTATCCAAACTTGACAAACTCTGAAAAATTTGAACTGTTACTTGTTTAAGACATGTTGATTTTAAACATCCTGGAGTAAATCTATGTACTTGAACCTCCAGGCGAGATGGGCAGCATATAAGTTGAATAAATGAATAAATACATAAATACCAATGTGTTTGACAGTATCTGGATGGCCACATAATAAGAGAAAATCAAAGCTCTAAACTGTGGCTTATAAAATTAATTGTATTTTGTCTTGAGTGGTATACTAAATTGCTTGTAATCTAAAATGGAGCAGTTTAAGCCATACTAGAGTAATGTTAGCCTCACAGTAATGAAAGGCATTTTCCTGCTCAATGTATAAATTGAAGCACACATTTTTTAAAAATGTTGGAATGTATGTTTGTTTGAATGTTTATTTTATTTATATGATGCCCTTTTCCCCCGAAGGGGACTCAGGGCGGCTCACAACTCAAACCAAAGGAGGGGATACAAACAAAAATTAAAGCAACACGCAACAATACATAATTTAAAACACACAACAGTCATACCATTCGAGACGGGGGCAACAGTTCTTTAGCCCCAGGCCTGTCGGAACAGCCAGGTTTTAAGGGCTTTGCGGAAGGCCTGGAGGGTGGTAAGGGTTCGAATCTCCACAGGGAGTTCGTTCCAGAGGGTCAGAGTAGCCACAGAGAAGGCTCTCCTCCGGGTAGTCGCCAGTCGACACTGGCCGGCGGATGGAATTCGGAGGAGGCCTAATCTGTGGGATCTAATCGGTCTAGAGGAGGTAATTGGCAGCAGGCGGTCTCTCAAGTACCCAGGTCCAATACCATGAAGGGCTTTATAAGTGACGACTAGCGCCTTGAAGCAGATTCTTGATTGTCAGGGCATTTTGTATGTATATTTTGTTCCATGATGGTGATTAAAAAAAAAATCTTCCTCAGAAGCAGCAGGTGCTAGTGACAACTGGTCTTTTTGTAATAAGACAATAAAAATTATTTTCTGATGGGTTTGTTGTAGCTACGTATATGTGAGGGCTATAGCTATGTATTTCTAACTACATATGCAAGAAATAAGCCTACACAGAATAGCTGTGAGAGAAACAATTTCTTCATGTACTGTAAGACAGGAGATTAATACAACCAACTACTGAAAATTAAACTTGTTTTTAGTCTGACCATTTTTCTTTCTTTTCACAGGGTAAACCTAGACCTAAAGTTATCTGGAAAAAAGATGGTCAGCTAATAGACCCCGAGGAAGTGGGAATACGAAACAGCAATACAGATACTATTCTATTTATCCGAAAGGCAGAACGTCACCATTCTGGGAAATACGAAGTTGAGGTGCAAATAGAAAACATGAGTGACAAGGTCACCATTACAATGCAGATTATGGGTAAGAAACTGCTGGATAACTTTATTTATTTAAAACAGTTGCATCTCACTCTTCATATGGAACAACTTAATAGAATTTAGTTCGTCTGAAATCAGATTGAATTTTTTTTAATCAATCCTTCTGCAAAATAGATTTAGTTGTAGCAGGACTCCCAGCAATAGAAGAATTACGTCTCCTTTCCATTCCTTGTTTCAAAAAATATTTTCCTAATGCTTGCGTAAAGGGTAATTGAGGAGTGAGAGAAGAGGAAAAAACCTCACATTTTAAGTATAGACTCCATTGGCTTGGCCCCTTTTTGGATTGATGATCAGTTGAACATAGTCCCAATCCAAGTTAGAAACCACAGCAGCTGCTTTTGTTACAAGAGTGTCAGAATGTTTGTGGTGGATTTCACAACTGAGCTGAGTTCCATGCATTAAACCTATGGCTACTAAAACATAAGAAAAATTGAGACAGTATAGAGGATTTTTCTAGACCTATTCAATGAAATGTAAAAATACGCATCCATTTGTAGGGGCAGCTATTGCAAGATCCATTTGAATTTTTGTCTTTGGATCTTCTTTACATTATGCCTATGACAATGCAATCAGCTTTTTTAATTTGAGACAGGGTCTTATTTTTGAGGAATTAGTTCATTTTATGTAAAATACAAAATCTGATATTCCAGGATTAATTATTGATCATTTTAAGAGTTTAGTGGACAGTTGACTATCTCTAAACAGGTATCCAGCTATGAAGGATTAATGAATGCATCCAATATCACATGTTGGAAGGGAAGGAGAGAGAAAGAGAGAGAGCGAAAGGTCATAGAGCAAACAGGAACATTTAGCTAACCTTGGCTGATCTTGAGAAAGCTAAAAAAAAAAGGGTCAGACTTGGTTCCTTTTGAAAGTAATTCTGAAGGAAATCCCAGATATACTGTCTACCTAGGGCAGGGAATTATAAAGCGTATCAAAAGAAGATAGTGGCAAACCACTTGTATATTGTCTCCAAAAACACTACATGTCCTTGAGGAATCCAGAAGTAGTGTTATTCAAGGAAGATTTTTTTAATCTTTATTTTTATAAAGCTACACAATAATTCATAGCCTGTTTCTCTTTCAAAACTGTTTTTAAGCAATATAATAGTATAGTATTTTATTTATTTAACACATTTATATCAATTTTAGCCCATTTTAGCTGCATGACTCTGGAGAGTTTACAAATAAAACCACAGAATCTTATAAACTGATGGAATTCAACTTCAGCCTAAAAGATGTTGTGAGGGAGGCGAAAGAAAAAGTATTAATTTCGTGATTTTCAATGATTAATGGTGAACATCCATGGATTTGGAGAGAGTGAAAGTTATTATTTTTACCTTTCTCTGCTGGAATACAGAACCACTGCATATATATTTCACATCTATATTTGGGAGGGTAAATTTATTGTAGGAGAAAAATTGGATGCAGAGGCCTACCTGGAATATATCAGTCCCTGAGGTTATTTAAGCTCCACTTGTATCACATCTGTGTAAAAACACCGAGGAGCAGCTCTTGATTATGCATAGCTGGTTTTGTGTGGTGGATTTCTTTTTCCAGACAAGCCTAGTCCTCCTCTGAATATTAAGATTGTGGACGTATGGGGATTCAATGTTGCATTGGAATGGATGCCTCCCCAGGATGATGGCAATTCTCAAATCACAGGATATGTGGTCCAGAAGGCAGACAAAAAAACAATGGTAAGAACCATAGGCCGGGTAAGGGTACACATCCATTCTGGGACTATGTATAATCAATTAATACTTCCTGTAACACAGCGGTGGGATCCACTTACCTTACCTACCGGTTCACAAATGTGAGCACACACGCCACCTTCTGCACATGTGCAACACCTTCTGCGCATGTGCAGAAGGTCGCACATTACATTGGGGCAGTGGTGGAACCTCCCGCAGCTGCCGCTACTGGTTCATCTGAACCGGAGAGAACTGGCTGAACACCACCTCTGCTGTGACAGTGTGTGAGTGAGAATGACCTTGGGAGGCAGGAGAGAGAACTACAGGCTGGATCACTAGAGTGTAAAGGTATCTCAACCCTCAGAAAGAGGGAGGGCATCAGAAATATTTCAGAAGGAACCTTCTTAGTTTTGCAGTACATAAAAAGAAAGGGAGAAGTACTTTCAATTTCAGAAGATTTTGTTAATGTAACTTTACAATAAAGATAGAGCTAGTAATCTTTGTGTTTCTTTCCTGGACTACTAATAAGATACAAGTAGAACACAAAAGATATAAGCCATTACCTGCCTTTTTATGAACACCTGTGGCTATGATGGAATTGTGAGAAATTCTAATTATTGGAGCCACAATCTTGTTTGCAAACACAGTTGCTACAAAAATTCTGGTTCACTTGTAATGGAGCAATTAGCTAGATTTCTCCACCTCTATGGGTTAATTATTAGGCTAAAGGCAATGCTATCCTGCTTACCTTCTAAGGGGCAACTTATTCCATTGAACGGAATCTGCTTCCCTCTTTCAGTCTCTTTGGCCAAAAAAAATCCAGCTGTAATTTTCTATTTGTTACTTTTTCTTGGAGAATGATTATTAGAATTCCTGGTTCATTTTTATCTATAGTTTGGTATATCTCAGTAAAACAGTATTTATTGCCAGAAGAAAACTAATTGAGAGATCTGATATCTATCTGTGATTAGGTTCCAGAATACCTTGCCCACACAGTGAAAGTTCACAATTTTAAAACAGATCTTAATTCATAAACATCCCTTGAATATCATATAATTTTTAATATGTATATATGTCTGTAATTAATATATCTTCATTGCACATCTCTTAGAAGTTACATTAATCTTGTGAAGAAAAGTACTCTGCTATTATTGAAAGGGGAAAAATACAACCCATTTTTTAAAAAAATCAGATTTGCTTGGCTGCACAGCAGGCAGGAAAAGGAAAGAAGTAGGGAAAGAATTGGTGTTGATTGCAAATGAATCCATACATTTTATTGATAAATGAGATAAAGGAATACATTAAGAGTTTATATTTAAATGCACATAATCTAGCTTCTTTGTATATGTATACATTCTTGACGGACATTACAGATAGTTAACCTTAAGATCAATTATGGCTTCATTAAGTTATGCTATGTATCATCATGCTTGTATATCAAATGTCAGCTTTTAAAAAGATGTTTACATTTTAAGGTTCAGCACACTTTTTGTTTTGTTTGCCAGGAATGGTACACAGTTTTTGATCACTATCGGCGCACGAACTGTGTAGTATCTGAGCTGATCATGGGAAACGAATACTATTTCAGGATCTACAGTGAAAACCTATGTGGGCTGAGTGAAAATGCTGCAATCACCAAAAACTCTGCCTACATTAAAAAGACAGGTAACAAAGAGAAATAATACAGGCACTTGCCAACATTCTCATTAAAAATTATCTTTCTTAATGCTGAAGTCAAAATAAGTTGTCATATTTCTATGGGCTTTCCATTGAATCTTTGCTATTCAAGTCAGTTAATTTTTGAAATAGGTACCACAAGTTAGTATTCAACATTTTGGTAGATGACATGGCAAGAATTGTGCAAGAATTTCCACACCAGCATCTACCAGGGAGTTTCCCTCATGGAATGGAATAATTTGCCTTGGGCAATTTGCCATGACTAACTCACTGTGGGAGACAACTTGTCGCAGGACAATTCAACAAATACAAATGTTAAATTAATATCAACAGAACCATGGTCAATAATAATAAAATAGTAAAGTTGATCCAGAAATACAATAGTTACACTAATTTTGAAGAAAACATGGTCTCCAATAATAAAAGTAACTGAATAAAATGATTAATAAAACATTGAATTGTCCCACAGGGAGTTCCAGATCTAAAGGCAGGATATAAATAAGCTAATTAAAAAAGACAAACTAGTAAATTAGATCTGAAACTTCACATTCATTCCAGGCCTTACTCCAAATGCTGAGAAGAGCAACAAAGATGACTAGGGGACTATAGGCTAAAATATTTGAAGAATGATTGCAGGAATTGTGTACGTCTAGGTTAATGAAAAGGACTAGGGAGTGACATGATAGCAGTGTTCCAATATTTGATAGATAGATAGATAGATAGATGATAGATAGATAGATAGATAGATAGATAGATAGATGATAGATAGATAGATAGATAG